TGCTCAGACAATAATAGACAGTGTATCCAATCAGCCAACGAAGCTTGACTGTCCTCCAACGTGTTTGTATTCGTTTACAAATTATACATATGACTATCATCAGTTTGTATATTATATAGAATAGTGAAGCAATTTCTTACTGTTAAACTAAAATAAAATGCAATAGAAAATACAGTGTTTCCTTCCTGAGTCCTTTCCTGCCATCCTGTGCACCCTCGACCCTAACTTGGAGGACACCGCTTTGGAGCAGCAGCAGGAGACACAGAAGCTTTGTTCTCTGGGGCCGGTCCTGTCCTGCAGGAAGCCGAGGGAAAGCAGCCTGCCCTGGAGAAGAAGGAGACTATGGGAGCACACACCCATAGAACGAGAAGTCACACAAAGCTTGGTCTCATCGACTATTAACATACCTTGAAGCATCACTCCAAGGGGTTTTATGCTATGATGAAATGCTCTATTTGAATAACCAGAATTCAGAGCCTCCTGGTGACAGCATCAAATTCAGCCCCTTGAAAGAATCACCAGATTCTTTCAAGAAGTAGGGGATTAGCAGACAACTTTGCTTTGTTCCTTCCCGGCCCTAGAGCAGGGCCCCGGGTCCTAGAGTCATGGGAAGACTAGACTGTTCCTTGGCTGTTTCTCTAAGATTCCAGTCCTTTTCTGGCTGGCTGTAAGCATATAGTTTATTTTTACCCAGTTTCCGAGGGAGAGATCAGAGCCTTATAGCTCTCAAGTACGAGGAATGTATTAGGTATTTTTTGCTGAGTAACGAGTTACCCCCAAACTTGCAACTGAAAACCATAAACATTTGTTATTTCATAGTTTCTATAGGTCAGGAATAATGACAATTGCCTGTGGTTCAGAGATGCTCACAGGTGTGCAGTCCAGGAGTGGGCCGGGGCTGTCGTCAACTCAAGGCTCAACTTGGGGAAGATCTGCTCCCAAGGTCATTGGTGTGGCTGTTGGCTGAAGACAGCAGCTCCTTGCCATGTGGGCCTCTCCCTCAGGGAACACACAACAGGCAGCCGGCTCCCCTCAGAGAGAGCCAGCAAGAGGACAAGGAAGGATGCTTGTAACAGAAGCCACAGTCTTTTTTGTATGAAATCTCAGAAATAATATCCCACCATATTGCTGTATTCTTTTTTTTTTTAAGATTTATTTATTTATTTCACAGACAGAGGTCACAAGTAGGCAGAGAGGCAGGCAGAGAGAGAGGGGGAAGCAGGATCCCCACGGAGCAGAGAGCCCAATGCGGGGCTCGATCCCAGGACCCTGGGATCATGACCTGAGCCTAAGGCAGAGGCTTTAACCCACTGAGCCACCCAGGCACCCCATATTGCTGTATTCTATTTGTTAGAAGGAAGTCACTAGGTCCAGTCCACACTCAAGGGGAGGGGACTCCACAAGGAGATAGATTTCAGAAGGGAGCAACCCCTGGGCTATCTTGGAGGCCACATACAGTAGGAGGAGAAATTCCCAACCACTTTTTGGATTAATTTCCCACTCTTGGTCACCGACATGTTTTTCTTTATCTCTGTTGCTTGTGTACTAGAACAAAAAAGCTCTAGAAGGAAAGGATTTTCCTGACTTCAACACCCTGTGTACCTCCAGGCCCTGCAATAGTACCAGGGAGGAAGGCACACATATGTGTAGGATAAATATATATATCCATTAAATGATGGGAAGACAAGACTCATTACGGAGGTTCTTAGTCCTTTTGTATCTTGTTTTGCTGCTTAATTCTTATTTAGAGAATGTAGGCCCAAGGTGAATGGTATTTTTCTTTTTTTTTTCCTCATTCATAAATACACAATTTTATGTTTGATTTTCAGGGGAAACTTAGGCATTAAACTGTAAGCTGATAAAATACGGGTACCTAAAAAAGTATAAAAATATAAATAACCCCTTAGAATAAATTTTAGTGAATTAAAGTCTTAATATCTTTAAATTTAAAAACCACAAGCCTATCTATTATGTCAAGGTCATAAATCAAAGGACGCTACGTGACCAGCAGCGCCCATGGGTACACGCCAAGGCCAACGAGGGGCTGTCCCCACCCCCGGCTCACTGGGAGGACTGGTCCCCGGGGCCTCAGTGAGCCATCTAGAAAGTTTGTGATGAAACTGAAGCCAAACATTTAACAACATACGAGAGACCTTACAGAGAAGCGGAGGTAAGTCCTGGGCGCCAGAGAACCTGATTCATCAGGTTGCTGGCAAAGAAGAGGGCATAGGCAAGAAGCCTCCGGAAGTACTAGAGACTCAGCACCCCTGAGCCAGCCTCTTGTGCACCCCCCCAGGCTCTGACAGCCCCCCGACAGCTAGGGAAGGTCTGTCCTCGAGCATGCGGGAGGCGCTGCTTACAGGGGTTCTGGTCGCTCCAGCGTCCTGTCCCGTGGGCAGAACCCGTGCAGGGCGCGTGAGTCTCAAACACCCCAAACCCCAGAGAGAACTGGGGTCAGGCAAAAAAAGCGAGCCAGCCGGCAAGAGGGAGAGACTGGCAATGCACTGTGAAGAGAGAATGGTATTTTCAATCAGTCCTCACTGTAAACCTAAAAAAAATTCTCAGAGTAAATTCATAATCCTGGTGCCCTAATAGCACAGATCAGTGAGAAATCAAAAGTGTTTGTCCAATGGCCAATAAGCACGTGAAAACTGCTCTGTGACCCTTTAGCCAAGAGGGAAATGCCAAGTCAGAACCAAGATGAGATATTCACACCCATTCGGATGACTATCCTTTTTTTTTTCTTTTTAAAAGATTTTTATTTATTTATTTGACAGAGAGATCACAGTAGGCAGAGAGAGAGGAGGAAGCAGGCTCCCCGCTGAGCAGAGAGCCTGATGCGGGGTTCGATTCCAGGTTCCTGAGATCATGACCCGAGCGGAAGGCAGAGGCTTTAATCCACTGAGCCACCCAAGCGCCCCTCGGATGACTATTCTTACCAGCACCAATAACAACCACAACAATAGCAACAATAACAAGAAGCTGGAAAAGAAATGTTGGTGAAGGTGTGGGGAAATGTGTGTCCTAGCACACTGCTGGTGGGGATGTAAAATGGTGTAGCCATCGCGGAAAGCAGTTTGGGGGTTCTTTCCACAGTGGAACATAGAATTACCATATGATCCAGCGATAAAGAACTGAAAGCAGGGACTCAAGCAGACACCTGTGCCCTAGCGTGCTCGGCGGCGTCCTTCACACGAGCCAGCAGGCGGGAACCACCCAAGTGTCCGGCAGCGGGTGAGTGGATAAACAGAGCCAGCATCTACGTACAGTAGATTACTGTTCGTCTATAAAAGGAATGCAGGGGCGCCTGCGTGGCTCAGTGGGTTAAGCCTCTGCCTTTGGCTCAGGTCATGATCCCAGCGTCCTGGGATCGAGCCCCGCATCGGGCTCTCTGCTCAATGGGAAGCCTGCTTCCCCGCTCTCTCCGCCTGCCTCTCTGCCTACTTGTGATCTCTGTCTGTCAAATAAATAAAAAATAAAATCATAAAAGGAATGCAGTTCAGACACTTGCTGTGACACAGATGAACCTTGAAAACATGATGATAAGTGAGATAAGCCAGACACCAAGGGCGAATGTTGCCCGACTCAGGAAGCACACCGGGGAGGACAGCCTGCTTCACTCCACGGATTCTAATGCTCATCTCCTCCAGAGATGCCCTCGCGGACATACCCAGAAACATTATTTGGCCAAATATCTAGGCTCCCTGAGAGCCAGTCAAGTTGCCACAGACAATTAACCATCACATGGGCAAAATAAGTTCCAGATTCTAACCACCGCTGGTGGGGACTCCCAGGAGGAACCTCGCTCTGGTCAGGCCTGGGGCGGAGATGGGGAGAGGCCAGCGGAGACACCTGGCTGACCGGACAAATCAAAGGCTGACAGAATGGGACAGATTCGGTTCAGTTTCGCACAGAATTAATGGTTAAAAGGGAGGGTAAAAGTGCCCAAAATACTTAAATTTCTTTTTTTTAGAACTGGTTTATTGAGCTAATCGGCCATCTGTAAGATTCCTGGTTGATGTCCTGTGAGGATCTGTGGTAACTCTTCCCCCGCCTTCTTGTCCAAGCATCTAGTCTTAGCCGTTTGGATTTGTGTAGTTTCAGACATCAGTGACTTTATAGTTCTGACTTTTGGTCTTGTTCTCTTCCAGAGAAGCTACATTTACGTATCCAGTTTTAGAATTCCGGGAGCGTGAAGAGGACTCAAGAGATTGACTTTGCCATTGTTTCTTCTGATTTACGGCCTTCAATCTCGTGGAGACTTCCAATGGACTCTGTCAAACTTGTTCCTGAAAAATGGAGTTTGGTAAAGGCCGTATCATACTTGATACTTCAGATTCGGGGATCCCATTAATTATTATTTCCTCTCCTCTGGAAATCCGGAAGTTCCTTAGGATGCGCACTGGGAGGCTGACCTGCTGTGTGAGTAGTTTGTCTCCATCTGTGGTCACGGATTTGGGAGCAGGATGTCATTCTGGGTGGCGATCTGATTCTGGTATGCCTTCTTTTTCATTATTTTCACCTTTAAACAGGTTTGGACAAAGCTTCACCACAGAGAAAGGAACCAGGATGTGTCTTTCTGTACATGTGGATAGTACAGTCGTCATACCTCTATGGTACTCAGCTGGGGGGACCAGGCCGTGCAAATGTGCCCCCCACTCACTTGGGGGAGTGACTTCGGACAGACCCCACTGCATGCACTTCCTGTGAGACATCCTAGAGCCTCCCACTTGGATGCCTACTTCAGGCAGAAAGACAAAACAAACAAAGAAACACCCCACAACCTCCAAACCAGGCCATACAATCACGTCCAACCTACTCCAGACTTCTGGTACCAAAGTCTGAAAAAAAAGATATTTGGCTGTGGGATCCTCACAGGTAGCCAAAGGCCTTCTCGCAGCTGTAAGGGTAAAACTCTTCTGGTAGAAATTCTGCCTGAAAAAGAGAAAAGAAAAACCAGGCAATTGACCGCGAGCTTGAAGGGAACGGAGCTATCTTTCTCCTTTTTACAAGCTTAGGGCTGAAAGGCAGTCATCCTGGGGATAAAAATCCATCACGAGGGTGGACAGAGTAGAGGCAGTTTGGGAGTGGAGAGGCCAGATGCCTGCACACAAAATAATAAAATGTTTTCCGTTGCTGTCATCTACATGGTGAGTGGAAAAGGATCCAGGGATAAGACAAACCCCTGAAGTGGTTTGGGGAAATTAGTGCTGATGTTTCCCATTAAAGTAGTAGAAATAATGGTCACAACCGAACATTTACAGAATTCATGTAATGCCTGGGATTCCACTGGGCTTTAAAAGAGGATCTGATTCACACCTCCTACCAAAAGAATGAATTAATTTTTAGTTCTCAGGGGTGGCATGAGGGACTTCCCACAGGCGCTTCGACTCATCAGATTGTAAAGCCAAGCATAGCCAGAGGAAGCTAGTCAATGCCTTTTTCTGATGGCCCAGAGAGGTTGAGTGACTGGCCCAAGGTCACACAGCTACTTAGTAGAATTGCTAGGTCTTGCATTCGGTTATGTTTGCTTTGAATCCAAATGGTCACTTTCTAACTGTGCACCTTTGGGAAAGTCACCCAACCTTTCTGAGCCTCAGTTTCATTATGTATAAAATGTGGATAATAATCGCACTGATCTCAAAGTCCTGTCGTGAGGATTAAACGAGCTAATCCATGCTTGGAACAGTGCCCGGCACATAGTAAATATTCAATGCATGCTAGCTATTGTTAGCTATTCTTCTTTTTAAAGGTAGCACTCATTTAAAAAAATGCTGATTTAACGTCTTCCCTTTTGCCACAGTTTTAATACAACCAGTTGGGATGGAAATGGCAGAGAGCACTGGTGGTCAAGTCGGGTTTCGCTGCAAATCTTGACCAACCTGGCAGCTAGATTGCTGGGAGTCTGAAGCTCAAATGGGTCCCTTCACTTCCGGGCCAGTTAGAGGTTTTGGCAAAGCATCCGTCCTGGTTCCCAGCTAGGTCTTTGCCGGAGGTTCCTTGTGGTGACCAGGCTGGGTCTGGGAGGCAGGTGAAGCACAGGCCCTCTGACTTTGTTCTGGCCAGGACTGTCTCACCTGGTTAGAGGCAAATAAATCACTGGACAGTCCTGGAAAGCGCAGTCAGGGGCTTTGTGTTTTGTAATTCCAGAAAGCTCTACCATTCCCTCCTGTTCAGGTCTCCTTACCTGTGGGTAAATGTCGGATCTTTGGAAACAATTCCTTTAGATAAGACACGGAATCCCTATTAATAACAATTCCAAGGCAAGAGATAATACTTTGGTTTATTATCAGTCTTACTTGAAGCAAGTAGGTGAGGAGGGAACTGGGCTCAGTGGATACTGGAGATACTGGAATGGGGAGAAAAAGATTCAGAATTCAAGGGAAGGTATGTTGGAAGGCAGTATTTTTTTACAGTTTAGTCTAACCCAGGAGCTACTGGAAACCAGAATATAATCAAGTCACCGTAACCTGTCGCCATTTTGAATTCTGTAACAAGCAGGGGTGAGCCATTTCTATGCCCTGTGGGTCTGGGTATTCTCCATAAATGCTGCTCTCCCAAACCAAATCTCCCCTTTAATAATTTATTTCCCTTCCTCTACCATTTGTCTGACATAATTTATCAAACTAAATAACTAACAAGGGGCGCCTGGCTGGCTCAACCAGTTAAGCATCTGCCTTTGGCTCAGGTCATGGTCTCAGGGTCCTGGGATCGAGCCCCACATCGGGCTCCCTGCTCAGCGGAGAGCCTGCTTCTCCTTCTCCCTCTGTTTCTCCCTCTCCCTCTGCACTTGGTAAAATTTTTTCGCTCTTCAGTAAGTGCTTATACCTATTGAGGCCAAGTTAACACGTCTTTTCAACATAATTCAGATTTCCATTATTACAAATACACACGATTAGCCAACATTTGTCTCTAGCCTCTTGTGAGGAAATCTCTAGCTTCCGATTTATTTTATTCCCCCCTCCCCCAATGGACTGAAGCCATGACTGGTGGGAATTTTGGTGAGTAAATAGTTTGGGGTCCATTTGGCACAAGCACGTTCTGAGAATGGCTTTGAGTCTTGTTGTGTATGAATCCGCAGTGGCAACGATGCACCGTTGTGATTAAAGCCGAGAAGCATGGGGCATTCCATTAAAGGAAATAAGCATTAACTTTCCTTCCCAGCCTGGTTACTCGGGACATTAATCAGCCCATAAAAATGGGATTAAGTCAACTCTCAATTTAGTTTTGTAGTTCACCTTGAAAATGTAATGCTCTTTTGTTTCTTAATATCTGGTGATCACATTTTTCGATGTAATGAAAGAGCAGGGATATTTTCCCACAAATTTTCATGGGGATTCATGACTACAGATGGAACCCTCCCTGAAGACATAATGAACAATTATTCAATCTGGGAAATGGCTTTGGAGGAGCCCTTCCAGTTGGGGGTATATAAAGTGAGTTTCCTAAAAGCTGTGTAAATGAGAGACCAGAACAACCCTCAAACACAGTCATTTATTTTCTCCTTTATTGCCTAATGAATATGGCATAATATCATGAACCTATCAGCTTGAAACTCTGCTCTCGCTCTGAGTCCCCCAAGGCAAACAGATGGGTTTTTAAATCCTTTTCTTAAAGTCTTACTGGATTGCAAAGCCTTTGCTGACATGTGGGGCCTGAAATTTTCTTGAGTTCTAAAACAGCCTCCTCAGATTTAAAGGAACTACCCTGATTCTCTCCTAAAGGTTTGCTTTTTCATTTATCCTTCCCTAGGATACTCCGAGGGAAGCCATCTTAGCCTTCGCCTCCTGCTAGAGTGTCTACTGCTCCCAACTACAGAGGACAGATTAAGGTTAATGGGGGTTTTCCCAAGAAATGACTTTTATTCAATTTAAAATACTAGTCTTTACTCTAAGATTTTGTTCTTTCTCCATTTTGGCGTAATTAGGTAAGTAGGTGATTTTTGTTGTTGTTGTTGTTGAAGTATCTTTGGGAGATAAAATTTTTTTCCAAAAAGCTTTAAAAAAAAGATTTTATTTATTTATTTGACAGAGAGAGAGAGAGAGAGAGAGAGATCACAACTAGGCAGAGAGACAGGCAGAGAGAGAGGGGGAAGCAGGCTCCCTGCTGAGCATGGAGCCCAATGTGGCTCTCGATCCCAAGACTCTGGGATCATGATGTGAGCCAAAGGCAGACCGTTAACTGACTGAGTCGCCCAGGCACCCCTCAAAAAAGCTTTCCTTTAAATATTCTGCTATAAATCTAAGAGTCTAGGAATTGCTGGTTTAGTGGAATCCGGCTATCTTGCAGTTAGGAACCCAAGGGCAAGGCCATTGCGCTCCCCCAAGTCTGCTGGTTGAGCTGGTGGCTGAGCTGGGTCAGCCCCGGCTTCTGTCTTCCTGCTGGGTTGCCTTTCCTCCATCAGGTTCTCTCTTGGAAATGGATAGAGAAGTGGCCCAGGGGAACTGGATATAGTTCTTGCCAGTGAGAAAGGTCATCAGGGTAATCCATGAGGTCCTGCTTTGTGGAGTGATTCTAAAAGTGGTCATGCCAAGAGCAGAGAAAGCCTCATGTGCTGATGAGGCCATGACTGTGGTTAAATTCATTATCTCAGGCCTCCCTCCTGCTGACAGGTGTCTGCAGGTAGCCGAGGGCGTGATCCGGTTCTGAAAGGACGATGCTTGTGTGTGCACGTGTGTGCACTTCCACTGGGAGTGGGCAGTGGGGAGGGTGCTCTTGAGGTGCTGTGGAGTGTTCTGGCCGCCTTTCATAAAGTACTGTAAAGCTTGAGCTTGAACTGAGCAGACATTCTGCTGAGTGGTCCACAGCCCAGGATAAAATGATTCCATCTTGGACCGATAGCACCATCCCTTGGGTCAAAGCAGGGTGTTTAAGAGGGCCTTAGGCTCCTAAAGGATCTTTTAGTTTGCACTGAAATCCCCAGGGTGTAAGGAAAGGAGCCCAGGTGCAAGACATTGATACTAGTTTGCAAGTGTGAGTCAAGAGCCTGGATGTGACATCCCAGGGCTCAGGCTGAGGAATGCAATGGAGAGACACCGGTCCCCCTCATTCCCTCCCATCCAAAGCACATCCTTATTCTGGATTGATTGGGAGCGGGTGGTATGAGGGTGAAGATGATCTGGAGAGGTCTGGTGCCCCGCATGAAGGAGGAGTTGGGACTTCTTGCAAAGCAGGGGGATGTCCACGGCCAGCAATAACCCCAAAGGGTCAAAGTGGTGCCTGGATTTTGTGTTGGCTGAGTGGGCTCCTCTGTGAAAGGGAAAGGCATCTGACCATGAAGTTCAGACCAATTCAGGGTAGCTTTTCGGTCATCACCTTCTTAAAACAGCATGGACGGGCAAGCTCCTCTGCTTTCACTGGATGCCTGTGATTCTTTATGTAAAATTCTTACGTATCTGCTGAAAGCTCCCTACAGCCTGATGCCAGTCCAGGTGAGGTGTCCGCAAAACATGTAATACGGAGTAATCTTCAGCCTGCCTAGTATGTTTCCCTCGAGATCCTACTGCTCTTATCATCCAGACTGCGAGACCACTAATCTCTCACCAGCTTATTCTAGATAGAAGGCTATTTTTTGTTTTAAAGGAATGCTACTTAGAAAGATCATCAAAAGGTCATCAAGCTTCTTGTTTATTTACTGGTTTTGAAGATCAAGTTTCCTGTTAATAGACGTGGGACTCCAAAAGAGAACAACACTCGGAGTCCAGCCCTTCCCGAAAGGATTGAAATTCACAAAATAGGTTGAAGGGAAAAGGCAGTTTCTCCTTTAAGTGGAGGGAGGCATGTGGGAACCGAATTTAATCTCTTACGGTTCCCAAAGTATTTTTTTTTTTAATAGAGCTGAAACCTTTCCGAAACGGTCCAAGATCCAAATAATGTTCTTATCTGTAGTTTTCTTTGGAAACCGTACAGCAGTAGATATAGATGTCCAAACTCGTATCCAGTCCTGTCTTAGGGAGCTGGATATGGGGAGGCTCTTGCCAGCTGGTAACACACTGTTTCTCCGGCTCCCTTTCCTTCTCCAAGTTGAAAACTTTTTTTTTTTTTTTTTGGTTCACCAAGTTGACCTTCAAAATGCCAACTCCAAGGATGTCTATTTGAATTTGCTGTGTTTTGAGCAAAGCACCCCCAAATTCTCTTTGATCGCTCTTTATCTTTTCATTGATGGCAGGGACTTCAGGGCGCAGGAGAACCAGGAAGATATCAGGCTGCTCCCGGCCCACAGTCTGGACTCGGAAGCCAAGATAGTGTTTCACGAAGCCCACTTATCTGAGCGGGGTGCATCTAATTGAAGCATTTAGCCTTCGGTACAGGCTTGTACTTAACAGCATCCAAATGGTTGTTCTTTCTAGTTTTATTAAAGGAGCCGGGTCCTTCTCATAAGTTTTCCATTAATGGGATTATAAATTGATATAATTTTAAGTCCAAGAATGCAGAACTGGTATGTGGTAAACATAAACATGTGTTTGGTGTTAGATGTAAACTAGTGTAGCCAAAGTAGGCAAGTGTTGTAAACTTCAAACATAAAACAGATGTCAGGTAATTAGAGACATGGAAGTGATGACAACAGCAGTGAGCTGTAGCAATGAAATGAATTGTTAGTTTAGGCAGGAATCACTGTGGCCCTGGTGGATTTATCACGTTTCTAGCTGCTGTGTGAACTTGATGTTACCCTTCTCCAGGAGAATACAAGTACTGCTTTTTTGATTCAAAGGCAGGAAGTCCAACTTAGAAGCAGGCAAACCGCAGTACTCGTTTTCTGAGTCTGAAGAAATTGATTGGCATTGCCTATCGCAAAAATGGATGAGTTGGTAAGAAATTTGAAAGTGGTATTTCAGCTCATTCTCTAATGTTAGGAGCAAACTCTGAGACCCCTTTTGGGAGAGGTCTGGTGGGATTGTCCGTGAAGTCTGAGTGGTGGGCCTCCTCCCAGCAATGTGGGAGGTGGTGTATCTGCGCAGGTGACTGGTGTATTTTAGGGAGTCCTTTTAGCTTTGGAGCAAATTTTGCAGTTGGGTAAAGCCAAAATGAAAGAGACCCTTGCTATAGTTTTCTGATGCCCAGAAAGTAAAATTTTAAGCAAAAAGTCTTGGATCTGGGGAGGAAGGCTATGGGGTTTCCTCCTACAGTACCAAACTGAAACCAACGCCTTTGCTTTAGCTTTTATGGAGTAGGAAATCACTATTAGCCAAAGGATCATTTAAACTTTTTTTAAAAAAAGATTTTATTTATTATTTATTTGATAGACAGAGATCACAAATAGGCAGAGAGGCAGGCAGAGAAAGAGAGAGGGAGAAGCAGACTCCCTGCTGAGCAGAGAGCCTGATGCAGGGCTCAATCCCAGGACCCTGGGATCATGACCTGAGCCGAAGGCAGAGGCTTTAACCCACTGAGCCACCCAGGCGCCCCTAAACTTTTTTTTTTAATTTAAATTCAATTTAATTAACATATACTGTATTATTCGTTTGAGAGGTAGAATTTAGTGATTCATCAGTTGAATATAACACCCAGTGCTCATTCCTTCAAGTGCCCTCCTTCATGCCATCACCCAGCTACCCCATCTCCCCATGTCCCTTTCAGCAATGCTCAGTTTGTTTCCTATAGTTAAGGGTCACTTATGGTTTGCCTCCCTCTCTGTTTTTGTCTTACTGTATTTTTCCTTCTCTTTCCCTGTGTTCACCTGTTTTGTTTTAAATTTCACATATGAGTGAAATTTTATGTTATTTGTCTTTCTCTGACTTATTTCACTTAGCATAATACCCTCTAGTTCCATCCACATTGTTGGAAATGACAAGATTTCATTCTTTTTGAAGGTTGAGTAATATTCTGTTGTATGTATACACCACATCTTCTTTATCCATTCATCTATCGATGGACATCTGGGCTCTTTTCATAGTTTGGCTATTGTGGACATTGCTGCTATAAACATTGGGGTGCACATGCCCCTTCGATCACTACATTTGTATCTTTAGGGTAAATACCCAGTAGCGCGATTGCTGGGGCATAGCATAGCTCTATTTTCAGCTTTTTGAGGAACCTCCATGCTGTTTTCCAGAGTGGCTGCACCAGCTTGCATTCCCACCGACAGTGTAGGAGGGTTCCCCTTTATCTGCATCCTCGCCAACACCTGTCATTTCATGACTTGTTAATTTTAGCCATTCAAAGGATCTTTTTTTAAAAGAGTTTATTTGTTAATAAACAAACACAAGCAGGGGGAGCAGCAGGCAGAGGGAGAAGCAGGCTCCCCACTGAGCAGGGAGCCCGATGTGGAACTCGATCTCAGGACCCTGGGATCATGACCTGAGCGAAGGCAGACACTGAAATGATTGAACCACCCAGGTGTCCCTCAAAGGATCATTTTAACAAATCATTTCTGATTTACTGGTATCGAAATCCAACAACTCCAATGTCATCCGTGTATAACCAAGTTAACGTTCTAACAGTCATACTTCAGCACAGCTGATTCATTTTTTGCATTAACTGGTATAAAAGTGTGTCCTTTGTCTAGCTAGATGTCCAGATCTTGAAAGCATCGAAGCCATGCAGCTGTTTTAACAATGAATTTGAAGAAGAGTCTTCAACTTCTCAGGGGGATGAAAACGATGGATACCATTGACTTGTTACTGGCTGGCCAGAGGCCCAAACCAAAAAAGTCATGGAGTTAACACCAGCTTTTATTTCAGAGTGTGGTCCCTTCTGGGGAGAATGAAAGCACTGTTGATGAAGTGGTCCTCCTTTCCGTTACGACACCTGGATGTGGCACATCCAACCAGAGACCCTCCAGCCTTCTACCTGCAGGCAGAACATGACGAAGCCCCATTAAATTATGAACGTTCACTGCCCCTCCTACCCTCGCCAGCTGCCAACTTTGAAGCAGGACGGTGTTCCTCTTGGGAGCAACATTTCTTCTGTGTCTTCAGAGGCTCATGTCTATCTTAGGTAAAGGAGCACTGGACTTGGAGGCAAATAGCCCGACGTTACTAATTTTTAGGATTGTGAAATATCCTGATCTTCCGCTTCAACTTTTATGAGATGGGGATCATAATATTTGGCCTTCCTACCTCCTGAGTTGTTGAGTGAACCATGGGAATGCGTTGTTAGTACTATTCTGCGTGTTCATGCTGCTGCCTCCATTTGGAATGCCCTTCTCCTGCTCTACCGGGCCATCTCCCGTAGAGCCCTCAAGACCCTGTTAAAATGTCCCCTCATCTGCCAAGCTTCTGGACTCCTCAGTGCAGAGTGGCACCCTCTCCCATTCTGTGTCTGCCAGCCAACCACACTGGATTGTGTTGTTTACACGTGTGTCTCTACTGTTGGACTCCGAGCTCCCTGAGCAGCGGGACAGTGTCTTACTCACTTTGTGTCCCCATCTTCAACATCATAGCTGGTTGTAGGGGACGCTCAAGAAAATTTTGTTAAGGGGCGCCTGGGTGGCTCAGTCTGTTAAGTGTCTGCCTTCGGCTCAGGTCATGATCCCAGGGTCCTGGGATCAAGTCCCACATCGGGCTCTCCACTCAGCGGGGAGTCTGCTTCTCCGTCTGCCTGCTGCTCCCTCTCTGCTTGTACTTTCTCTCTCTTTCTGTCAAATAAATAGATAAAATCTTTAAAAAAAAAAAAAAAGAAAGAAAGAAAGAAAAGAAAAAAGAAAAGTCTGCTTAATTGATGCTTGGAGGACCCTGAATGGATCCCATGCTTTGGGTGGAAGATTCTAGACCATGGAAGAAGAGACTGCTGTGTGTCACAGCACACAGCCTTCTGTTTTGCCTTTTGTGCCAAAAGATGGCCAAGTGACAAAGCCTCACCTGGTCACGGTCAGATCCAGGCTGCTCAGGGTCAAATCTTTTTCAAGGCTTTCTTGGAACTGAAGGAAGGAAAAGCCCCATGAGCCGTCGTGTTTATGCTACCCAGAGAAACACAGCTTTCACTCTGTTGTGCTTAAGTTAGATAATATGTGTGAAAGGGCTTTGTAAAGTGCAAAGTATCAGGCAGACGCGAGGAATTGTCTATGTGTGCCTTCTGCCCAGTCTGATGGTGAGCTTTCGAAAGGCTAGAATCCTGTCTTTGTCTTCCCTTCGATAATAGTCCCAATGACTCCCTTCAACTGATAATCAGTGCTTACATATTGAATACATCGGTCCTTCCTTTTACCTTTATAATTTCCCTTTATCTTAAGCTGCCATAACCTATGAGGGCGACACCAACTACATGGTTCGCTCCTCGCTCATCCCTGTCTGCACATCTCCCCGTGGAAGTCAATGGGTAGCAGAGTGTGGTCGTGCATGCGAATTTGAATGTTTGCAGCTGGCTATCACATGTTCCCCTTCCAAATCAGTCTAAAAAATTCTCATCACCTAACCAAAAAATAAGGATATTTATTTGGAAGCCTCCGTCAGTGGTTCCAGTTACCAAAAGCGTTGGAAATGGTCTTGATCTTTTCTTGCTGGGTATGTTACATTTCCTTGGATGAAAGGGAAAATGGTGGATGGTGTCTTCCAACGTTACTTGATATTTATTGATTGATTTGTTTTGAATTTAATTAAGGCTGACTATTGCATTTCAACTGTATACACATGCAAACTATTGGGGGGTGGAGAGTGTCCAGGAGGAGAGGTGCAGTGTTGTTATAAAGGAGTTTAAAAAACGATTGTGGAGGATGACGCATAAAAATAAAACATACCGCGGCGCCTGGGTGGCTCAGTGGGTTAAGCCTCTGCCTTCGGCTCATGTCATGATCCCAGGATCCTGGGATCGAGCCCGGCATCCAACTCTCTGCTCAGCGGGGAGTCTGCCACCCCCACCCCTCTTCTGCCTGCCTCTCTGCCTAATTGTGATCTCTGTCTGTCAAATAAATAAATAAAATCTTAAAAAAAACCTTGTAATAAAAATTTATGTATAATTTATAGACATATAAATCTACCTATGGATATACACAGACACACCAGTCTATAATGTGAAATAAATGCTCTGCCATTTAAGAAAGGGAATCTGTTTGAGAAAAATGATCTTTAGGTTCTAAGGGCAACAGGGTTGTTTATCTGTGGTTTCTTACTTAAACATGTTCAACGTTATATACATATTTATACGTGGAAGATAAGAAAGAGGTGGGGCCCGGGAAGGAGAGAAAGAAAGTTATGTTTTGACTTAATAATAGGCTGCTGAGTCATATTTCCTGAGTTTAAATCCCACTTCTAAGTGGACCTTGGCTCATTTTTAAAACCTGAATCTCAGTTTGCTTTTCTGCAAAATGTGAATAAGAACAGGGTCTTCTTCATAATATTGTTATAAATATTTTTTTTAAAGATTTTATTTATTTATTTGGCAGACAGAGATCACAAGCAGGCAGAGAAGCAGGCAGAGAGAGAGGAGGAAGCAGACTCCCCGCTGAGCAGAGAGCCGGATGTGGGGCTCGATCCCAGGACTCTGGGATCCTGACCTGAGCTGAAGGCAGAGGCTTTAACCCACTGAGCCACCCAGGCGCCCCAATATTGTTATAAATATTAAATAAGGTAAGAAATGCGAAGCACGGGACACAGAAGGTACAGACACTGAACTGTACATGTAATATCTGGTATTTATCAACGCACTTTCGCGGAAGGGGGTTGGGGACGACAACGACGACAGCATTTTTTTTTTTTTTAAAGATTTTATTTATTTGACAGAGAGAGATCACAAGTAGGCAGAGAGGCAAGCAGAAAGAGAGAGAGAGAGAGAGAGAGAGAGAGAGGAGGAAGCAGGCTCCCTGCAGAGCAGAGAGCCCTATGTGGGACTCAATCCCAGAACCCTGAGATCATGACCTGAGCTGAAGTCAGAGGCTTAACCCACTGAGCCACCCAGGCGCCCAGCATTTGGGTTTTTTCCCTGAACTACTGCATCCAGTCCCCAGCCGTCCCAGACGAGGCAGGTGCTCTGCTCTGTTCCCCAGGTGCACTAACACAGGTGGCCGCTCTGCTGCGCGTGGCCCATGTGAGTAGGTGCTCAATAAACTAGTCGTTTGTTCATTCACTGACTGCTGCAAATGAAACGGAAAGGACTTAGACCAAGCACTTAGCACAAAGGAGTGCTGCGGGCGTGTCTGCCGTCCTTGCCCGTTCTCCCAGCTCTGCTGCCTTCCGCACAGGAGAAGTCGGGCAGAGAACTGGGGGAACCACTGGGTGGAGGAGGGCTCTGGGTCTGGGGTGAGAGCCGCCATGACTGTCTAATGACGGTTTCCTGAGTCAGGCGGCATCTGCCGGGAAGCAGCACCTCCCTTGTAATTAACCGTTTGGCTGCTGAGCTGAGGGTGGCTTTGAAAGACACCCAGGTGACAGTGGGGTGCCTGTGGTCCCAGACTGCAAAATGACACCGAGTCAAAAGCTAAGTGGCCTCTCACATCCACTCATTTTCTCTTAAATTACATGTGATTAGGAATATAATTACCACTCCTTACTCTTTTCCCCCAAAACACTATTTTTCTTTGCCGTGCAGTGCCTTGATAGGGACAGGACACTCGGAGGTTGTGCTCAGGGGGTTGGGGCTGGGGAAGGCCCGGGATGAGAGCGAGAGGAGAAGCCTGGCAAGGGAGATGGAGCCCACCCTTCGTGGCCCTGGCGAGCTTGCAAGTTCAAAAACAAAAATCCAGGGGCAAGAGTGGTAATTAGAAAATGTAGGCAAAAGACTTTGATTATTGAAATCATACCTGCCCGGGGTTCCTGGGAGAGCCTGAAATGATATATGTGCTTACATTAGAATTATAAAGCTCAGCTGTTGATCTTTTTATTTTTGGAATGTCTACCCCTCTAATTACTTTACAGTCCAAATGATTAAAAAAAGGAGCAGAGAGCAACAGATGAGCCCAAATTGCTGTGTTTAGAGGAAGCGGGGTTGTCTGTGTGCGTGGGGCTCTCCCTGTAATGAAAGCCACTGCTGGGAGCTGTTTAGACAAGCCCCCCAGCCGGGCTCCGCACTCCGGAGCCATCCGGGCTTCCAAATGCGAGGGTTTGCTGTGCCGGGGCAGCGTCTGTCGGGAAAGGGGCGGCGGGAGGGCGCTTCGAGCTGTGTTTTGAATTAATGGGTTCGACTTCATTTTGAGTACAAGTGGGAGGCTATTTTAGAAAAACCTTCCCAGGCCGGCCGTCACTGATGTGGCAAACCCGGCCTCGGAGCAGACAGTCTCGAAATAGCCATGTCTCAGCGTCTCGCAGGCACACGCCGGGGCCTCCGGTTCAAAGAGCGCGGCCCCGCACGACCCCTTTGTCCTCCGAGGCTCCGCCCTGCGGGGCGCCCCGCCTCGCCCCCTAGCGCAGCAGGGCCGAGGCGCCCCTTCCGCAGTAGATGAAAGGGGGTGCTCGGCGGCAGCGAAATCCCTCTGGAACAGGACAAACGGAGCTCGGGCACCGTCACGGCCAAGTGCGTGTCTCCCCAGGTGGGCGACGGCCAGCGCCTGCTCCGCGAAGCGCGCTCTACCGCCAGGTGCAAACGACTCGGTGCACGTGGCCTCACACTGCCCGGGTGGCCGCCTCCCTTTGCTGGAGACCACGCCTCTCGCCCGCAGCCACGTGGGGTCGGCGTTCATTTCCGCCCAGGAGCCTCTCTGGGGGTCGGGGGGTCTGCCCCCA